CAGTTTACTGAAAGTAAAAGTACAAACAATCATCGGTATAGTATAAAATGTTAACAATATATGTTCATATCACCTATATGGCAGTGATTGAGAACAGAAAATACTACACTTATACTATTAACATTTTATTTATATAATGCAGTTTTGTATCACAGTTAATTCAATGATCTATCAGAATGTAAACCCAGTGAAATCCAGCTTTCACTTCCTGATGAGAATTTCTCTTATCTTGAATATATCGATCATTTATGATATTACTGCTGCATTTCCATTGAGGGAAGGAAGAGAAAGAAAAATTTGAATTCAGACTGATTATATTGAACTTAAAATTGCATCTTTTTAAGAATCATGCTGAAATGAGGACTGTTTGTATTACGTAGAGGAAATTTTATCTGGCATATCATAGGAGAGATAAAACTATGGACTGCTCTTCCTTTCCTTGGAAACTTGATCGAAGATGTTTGATTGAAAATATGAAATTGGTTTTGTATTCCATCTGGATGTGATACTGAATGAACTAAGTAACCACATATCTTGCTAGGATTTCAGACACTTTGAACTGCGAAGGTGACACTTGTGACACTTTCACTCTGTGTTCTGACCATTATTTTTTTCCTCAATAGAGATTGGAGGATGCTTGTAGTATTGCGGATAGAAGGAAAATATTTCTTGAAACTTACGTTTCACAGCACTGGCAGATACCAACTGACAAGATTTCGCAGCACCGAGATGTTCCAAGAGACAAGATTTCGCAGCACCGAGATATTCCGAGAGACAAGATTTCGCAGCACTACCGACTGCTGCTCTCATTTTAGTGCATGATTCTTGAAGTAGAAAATTCAGTGCGGAAAAAAAAATGTCTGACTTTATCTGATTGATTCACCGAGGAAAAAAAAAAAAAAACAACGATTCACTAAAAATATTAGCACTTCAAAGGGGTTAAACAAGAAAATCAAGAGTGTAACTCTAACTGACGACGAACAAATAATCCCAGCATTTCATTTCTCAATGTAAAGATAAATGGATTAACGTGAACGTAAGTGAATCAGCATAAATTATTATCAAAACATTAGAAATAAGTGGACGAAAATTACAGCTGATCGAAAGTTGTCCCATACTGAGAAGGACTTATGACAGCTCATTTCTTCTATTATTTGTCTTCGACTTGTACGTATACTAAAGAACACATTTATATCTTCTTGAATAGCACATTCAGTTTGGCGCATGTTAACGTGTGGTGGCGTGTTTGTAGTATGAGGAAGGCGACAGGAAGAACTTTTGCGGTGGGTAAGTATTGAGTTGTGGGCAGGAATAATCACATTTGTATCTTCTCTCCTTCTATCTGTCATTTCAGGAATCGTTTTTGGAATTGGGGTTACCGGAAGAATACAATGAAAGAGGTGGTTATTGGTCATGAAGGGATCAAACAAGAGCGCGAAGTTCGTTTCAATTTTTTTTTCCGTATCCGGAATGAGATAGTAGCGCAAGGATACACATGGGATACACTCTTCCCTTATACCCTTTTCGCTCTACCAGTTTTTGAGAATGGGAAATTTAGCCAATTGCCATCGATTTAATGCTCTCCCAGTCCTAATCATACTTTCGCTGTTTCTCGGAGAATCACTGGTCTAAATCAATCAAACTTAATCGCAGAAGATAGTAATTTGATTGAGATATAGTCCAACTATCCATACTATTTGCTAATTCGTAATATTGTGAAGTTCCTGGTAATTACCTTTTATTACAAGATTAGCAAATTGAATAGGTAATCGGAAATGTCTGAGCTCTATTACCTTTCTTTTCCATCATGTATCCGTATCCTAACCGGTTCATTTCTAGTTTTCATGCCTTCTTTTTCATGATTTCAATCAGATATGTAGTCAAAGTCGTCGATTGCGTTATAACTATGGGAGGGAAGGGAGAACTGTATGCATTTGATGACAGGGACATGTACGTCATGTTTGGTGAGCAATTTCAGTGAGATGTGTAAGGAGCTATTAACAATGCGTGGGATTTTGATCTGTTTATCCATTTTTAGGATCGATGGCTGGAAAAAGTTAGCAAGAACGAGATTTTTCTGCTCGCTGTCGAGAAGGAGATGCTGAAAAAGTGGACAGATGGTTCGACTAGAAACAGGTAAGACGTGTTATTTTATTCAATGTTGTATACTGAAGGATCTTCAGTACTTTTTTCTAGTGCGGAATTTAGCAAAATTTGGGATTTTGTGCTTGGAAGAGGATGTTTGCGACCAGTAAGCTTTGTTATTAACTGTTGTCTCTTTTTAACGTTTCCATGTTTAAAGGTACTGTAGAAAAGGTGGGACAATAAGTAGGAAGTGATTGCAAGATGACTACAGATGATTCGAAGGGTTTGGAGACATTTGATGGTCACGGAATTGATAGAATATGTCTCGAAGACGACAAAAGACAGTAGAGGGAAGAGGTTGATTATTGTTAAGGAAATGAGACGCTAGAGAAACAGACAATGAAAAAGTAGAAGTCACAAAAATTGATGGTGAAAGAGGAGAGCTCATGATTTCATGTATGATTAAATTCGAATGTTTGCAGGAAGTTAACGACAGTTCTGCGAAGTATATATCAAAAAGAAACACAGCTTCATCCTCTCTCTATGCAGTCGTTATCAGTTAGTGGAAGTTTTGTACTTCCAAAAGCCATTTTCATACCTCCTTCACAGGTATCTCGGATTTCTTGAATCTGTATTCCAGCTTGGAAATATTGTCTTCAAAGCTATGTTCATCGAGATGTTGACTATAATTTAATTGTGAGTAGATGTTGCAGTTTGAGATGTATCAAGCTTTAGTTCATGTTTCAAATAGGTTACAAAGCACTAAATAGTTCGTTTGCAAACACGCAATGACGAGATAATTTTACAAAGAATTTGTCACTGTTTAAGGTTGTCACATTAGTAGCCGAATATGATGCAGATATGACCATTCAAGAATTGACACGAAGGCTTGTAAAATCAGGAAAAATCAGCGAGCAAGAGAGAAGAATACGTTACGCTGAAAATTTGTTGCTGGCAGTGGCTAATCAGAGACGTACCATGCACATGACGAAAATTTTGTTTGAACTTGGGAAAAATGTTGTTGCCAACATTTCGAATACATCTGGGGAAGACACTGGAAAAGTTCTTGCCAACTGTATTTTTCCAGTTGGTTTCTTTGCTTTATTTATTTATTCATGTGGTATTGAAACTTAATACGAAGAAGAGACTCTAGGTGAAAAAGTCGTTGTAACACTGATTTCTTTTTCTCTTTTTTCAGAATTAGTAGCAGTTTTAAACACCCGTACGATGTTTTTTTTTGTCAACATTGCTTAGATAAAGATAGCATTTGTTGTATGAGCAACAAAGTCGTACTTTTTCAAGTAAATGTTGTGATTACTATTAAGAATGTTTTGAAAAATGAGATTACAGCCGATGATAAAATGCCATTTGTGCAATTTCAAAACAGAATCACGAATTGTTCTTGAAGCCCACAAGGAAATACCGCATTATATTCGTCGCAGATATCGTTGCTCCTATTGTATTCAATTCTTCGTTAATTTTCACGAGATAAGAAGTCATTTCCTGTGTGTTTTCTTTTTCAATTCGAAAAATTATTGTTTAATCCAGGATCTCATTTATTATCAGTAATTACTGATATTTGACAGATGATAACATAATTTGAGTTACTAAGTTCACTTTTTTTTAAATGAATTTCAAAATTCATTTATGCTGAGGGAAGTTTCTTTTTCTTTTTCTTTTTTTTTTATGGAGAAAGGCGACGTAGATATCAATTCAGCGTCATCTTTCTCGTTCATCTTTGCTTTCAGTAATAAACACAGTGTGATAGCTCGCAACGATAACTGGAATACGACTTTGGAATGTCCTTCATGTGCAATAGAGTGCAGCAACGAGTTCAACTTGAAGAAACACAAGAAGCTCTGCTGTTTTACGAAGACCGGGTATAGATTTCTGTACAGCTTACTGCATGATTTTTTCTGTCACCTGTTGAATGAATTGTAGATGACTGAAAATACAAAATAATGTTTCAAGTACAATTTTCATCGCAAGCGTGCTGCACCACGTGATTGAATTACGTGAGTTCCTCATCCCTAAAGTTGGATTTTTGGTTTTGAAATGCAAAAAGAGTAAAACTACAGATTTACTATGTTTGCAACGAAAAAGCAATCTTCATGTGCAGTTAATGAGATTGTATGGAATAGAGAGACTGGTTGCGATCTGTCGCACCGGAAGTTCGGACACTCTATTTCACGGGTATGATTTTTTGTATGTTATTAAAAGGTTGTCACGTGTGGTCATAAACAAACACCTATTTTATTCCAGATATTGTCAAAACAGAGGAATGTCATTGATGAAGTCCTATAAAAATTAATATACTCTGCAGGAAGCGAATGATAATCTACTGGTAGTGTGGACAATGAACAATTTTAAATTAATAAATAACAGATGAACCATGACGGAATCACTAATCCTCCTTACTTTATCAGTTTATTGATCTCAGCAGTGATAAGCATATGCTAGACATGACTTTTTTGATTTCCTGAAAGAAACTTATGAGATCATCAATCGGAACGTTTCTTTTGTCCGAAGTTTAACCCGCAATGGTTAAATGAATTATGTGAAATTGGAAACAAATGATTGCAGATTATTTCCTCAACTCTATAACTTACCCCATCAGCGACATGTAAATCATTAGTTAAAAGGAATGTTCATTCAAAGGACAGTTCAAGGTGCAAGGAGCTAAAGTTTATTTTCTGTGCCACTATATACTCTCATAACTTTTCGTTGCCTTGCTACGAAAAATATTCGGACATTCAACATTCAATGGAATTCCTTCTGAAAAAGTGAAGGCAGTGCATGTCAAGTCAAAGATTGGTCTTATTTCTACTTACTTTTGCAGAAACAAGTAAATCAAAAGGAAAGTGATCTCATTCGAGAACGAAATACACAACGTTGGATCCAGGAAGATCTCAGCACGGAAGATTTTGTTAGATTTTGACTCTGTGTAGAAGGATTGCGCTGATTTTATGTAAATTAGATGAGGAACTTCATAATGTTTTCGTTTATATATTATGAGTTAATTTTAAACCGCTTTGTTGCTGCTTGCGTCGTCTTTCTTTCACTTGAATATTTCTTTTTTAACTTAAGAGTGATTTGTCTCATTTTATTCATGCTAAGTCTAAATCATAAGTGGATCGATATAGTGCTGATCGTATTTCTGTTGTTTATAATGTTTTATCTTGTTTAAAAAGGCAGGAAATAAAATTTTTTTTTCCTGAGGACTTCAGTTTATAAAATGTTAGTCCGATAATTAATGATTGCTCCGTACTACGTTATTTCTGGAATATGTTAAATTACCGTTCACTTCCTAGTGCTTTATTTTTCAGACTTCTACCGATCAGATTTTGGCGTTTTATTATATTGTTTCTTGGATGCAATATATGAAGAAAAGATGAATAGTCTTTTCGTTTTTGATGACTAGCAAATTTCGGAACCCCAACAAGTTTGGATTTATGACTAACACTCGGAAACTGAAATTCGAATATGCCATGGTTAAAAATGTTTTGCAAGATAACACTATGTGAAAAGCTGGGGTTCCAAAATAGACGTTGTAGGAGGGTGTCCAGTAGTGTTAAATATGAAATGTTTATGAAATAAAGTGAAGAATAGGTAAGTGATGCAGTAGAACCTTCTCGATTATTTTTTGCAGGGACAAAGAAAATTCGTGACCACAAGTTTCTTCATACAGTACAGTCCCTCTTACTAGAAGGAGTGCTTCATGGAAAAAGAAGTGGTCGATTCTTCAGGTAACTGTGAGATTTACTTCTTTTATTATTATTTGTGGTTGATGATATGTTTATATGACTCCAACTTAAAAGTTAGACATTGCCTCATAGAGGAAACAGTCCAATCTTTCACTCTAACGGCAGAATAAGTCTAACGCCATCACCACTACCTTCTGTTTTTACCAGATATTCTCAAATTATGAACTGCTACTTTTCAGAACAGAAATCAATATCCAATTGTATCTGCGACAGATCAGAAAGAACTGTAAAATGCCTGACTTGTGGAGCGACATTTCTAGGTCATGCCGCACTGACATGCAACGAACATCCAAGAAGAATCAATTTGATGGATATAAGGCTTTGTCCCAATACTTCATGTCGCAGTAGCCATTTAATGGAATTTGAGAATGCTGATGCTCAGGTAATTCCCACACTCGACGCTTTTTCAACTTCAACAGACGACCGAAAAACCAGACTTCATTACAAACTATTTTAATCAAATTTTTTGATAGACTATTTTAACGGAATAAAACAGAATGCCTTCAGAATAGAGATTCAGAGCACCGTAAAATCATTCTTCCCCTTGATTATTTCACTACTTTGGTAATTGGAATGATTAATACTATCAACAACAGCGATATTACTTGTCGAGAACAGCTTTCACTTCCTCGAGGATTCATAGTTCATTCTGTTTGGATTATCTTTGTATTAAGATATTTGGTCTATCCTCGACCAAGAACCTTCGATTTTAGTTAGTTAATACCTCACCAAATTTCCCCAATATGCTTGAAGCTTTAGAAAATTCCATCCCCCACGCTTCAGTGCCACCCAGTCATTGCAATACTGCACGAGATGTCTAGATGAGATGAAGAGAATCTGATAATTTCATCGTTAAAAAAATATATTTCAATTACGTTCGGATTTTTGGGTTGTTATGATAATGAACAGCAAAGCAAAGAGAATTATATATTGTTATTCGTGTTCCATAATAATCCGATCCATGCACCTCTGAATTTCATTTTCTTTGTTTCATATTGTTATTATATAACTGAACACATAATATTTCAACTTCTAATACGATCAGTAATATGATCAACTTCTTTCAGAAATTTGCCACCATTAATTATTCGATTGAAATGTTGCCAGTTCCTTTGTATTGCGCTTATTTTTTTTGGCCTGTGTTGTACACCCCACTCAATTACTTGTGTCCCAAACTGGAAAACCATAAGCAGAGATGGAATTTGTCACGAGACCAATAGCGTTGTAGCGTTTTCCATGCTCTTAATAAATGGCTCGCACGTCTACCCTGGAAGGAAGGCGCATCTGAGTCAGATTTTAGCTTTGAAATGTGTAAACTCACCATTGTGTCCTTGTTCAGTTATATTAAATGCCTACAAAAATACAGTTGTACCTTTCCCAGAAAACACAATTTTAATTGACTATTTCGCCAACGTATGGTTTTAGCGAAGTATATATTCAATCAACACAGTTCCTGTTGCTATTCCTTCAGAACACAGTTTTGGAGAATCGGATACGTTCATCCTTTGATAATTCTTGTGTGTTTTGCTAAATACAATAATTTGATCTTTTTTGAGTTCTTTTAGTCTCGGTTAGCAGATTCATGTGGTTTCTTTGGAATTATTTTCAAACTTTGTACTGTAGAAGATACCCATAAATTATTAGTCACAAATGTTTTGTCTTTGATAGGCAAAGAGACATAATTTAACACTGACTTTCTATTACTTGGCTTTCCCATTTCATCCTTGCAGATTATTTGTCAATTCCGATTGAATTTCAGTCCTTAATTCCATGAAATATTAGTAGCAGGTGGAAATGTAATTCTGACTGGTAATAACATCTTCCCCTCTGACTACCTGTGTCACACCGACTGATAACACTTTCATATCTGGCGCCTACAGTAGTATTAGGAAGAAAATCAAGCACTGTGTCAGGAAAGATGTGGGCGTCAGCAACGTTTGGAAGTGAACTTTGCGATACTGAGGGTAGGGATGAGGCAAGAATGAGGAGATACGACTATAACAAAACGAACGCCGAGATCAAACCATTCGAAAGGTTGACCGGGAAAAAAATTCTAGAACGTTCTGGCAAGTGCCACTGTTGCCCAAACGACAGAAGTGAACGCGCGTCAGTCTGCCGCCTTGTTTTTTCTTCCTGCTTCTGCCGTGTTTATTCGTTAACCGTCTTCTCCCTGACCCTCTCTCCCGTTATTCCGTCTTGCTTTCCGGAACTTTCTTGCAGATGCTGAGACCAATTCTTCGAGAAGTTGACCGGAAAGAAAATTCCAGAACGCCCTGGCAAGTGCCGCTCTTGCCCAAACAACAGAGATGAACACGCGTCACTCTGCTGTTTTCTTTCTCTTCCCACTTCTGTTTTTCGTTAACTATCCTTTCCCTGGCCTTCTCTTCCGTTATTCCGTCTTGCTTCCCGGAATTTTCTCACAAGTGCCGAGATCAAATCGTTTCTTGAAGATTTGACCGGAAAGAAAATTCTAGAACGTTCTGACAAATGCCTCCTCATCAACAGAAAAGAACGGCGCATCAGTCTGCTGCATTGTTCTCTTCCTACTCTCTCTGTTTCTTAACTGTCTTATCCCCTTTCGCTTCTTCTCTTGTCTTGCTTTCAGGATTTCATAGCTCGGAGGCCAAGTAACAACCTGATGGCTTCACCACTCTTCCAACCGGATGCCTCAATGTTATCAGGAGGAAGTTGGGGAAATGGGAGACTTCGGAGTTTTTTGGGGAAGACTTCCGATGTTTGTGTGTTTGATTAATTGGTGGTCTTTCTCTGTTTTGAATGTTCCAGATTATCGATTTGATTTATAATGTAGTGGAAGTTTGATCAGTTTTGGATAGCATGCTTTTCGTCTTCGTAATATCGAAAATAGCTGGCCCGCAAAGTGAAACTATCGAATATCACAAGTTGAGGTCATAACGTGGGAACTTACGTTTATAGCATGGAACATTTGATGCGAGTCTGTTTGTTTCGTCTGTTTATGAAGATAATCTCTATCGTTACGGGTAATATTAATCGCTATTACAGATGTCGACTGAACGGGGAAATCAATTCGAGGTGAAATTGGACGTATCCAGTTTCCATTCTAATGATTTACAAGTGAATGTTCATGGTCGAGAGTTGGTCGTTTCCGGACATCACAATGAACGTGAGGAAGGAGGTGGCACAATTGAACGTCATTTTGTTCGAACCTATATGTTGCCGAAAAGTGCCAAGGAAAAGCAGTTAGCATCAGAGTTAAGCGCTGATGGCATCTTAAAAATTACAGTTCCTGCCGATGAAACTACCGAATATCGTAAAATCCCCATTAAAGTGGATCCGAACTGGAAAATGCAGTCGAATCCCTGCCAAGAGTTAATCCTTCGTGAACCAATACCGCTTTGGTGGTGGTGATTTACCATGCTTTGTTTTCATTTGATTGAATGAAGGCAGTTTGATTTTACAATATCGCCAATATCATTTATTATCATGTTTAAATTTAATTTTTGTTTTAAAAGCACAACATTTGAAGGAATACAAGAATCCACGGGAAATGACCAAGAATTTGTCTGATTTGTGATTTCAAGGTATTAATTAGGACACTTAAGATGAGTTCGACTCTTTAGTGAATACGCAGATGTTAGTTTGTCACTTACAAGTAATAAAGTAATGGCCTCCTCGAACTCGCGAAAGAGAAGAGGGAAAGCTATGTATGAAAACTGGATATTTAATACTCCAAAGTGTCCTCGTTTTTGTTTGTGTTCTTTTAAATGATCGGGGACGTAGAGTTGTCAGACACATTTTTCATTTTATTTTCATCTGGTAGTTCAAATTAATTTGGATTTTGTTTTGCTATTTCGGATGCGAATAAAACTTTTAATAAATCGGTATGACTTAACTACATCTGTCACATTTGCCTATTGAGTTGTGAATGAGTGATCACAACCTTTTTCAAAATAGCGGGTGGAGACATGCTGGAATCCTTTAAAATGATGTGATGTCAATAACAACGGTAATTTAAAGATATTTAACATATATGCTGGCAGGATGCCTCAAAATGTTTCCTATTCAAAATGAATATTTTCCCGTCGTAGCAACCTTTTCTTAACACATATTGAATTAATTCACTTTATCTGAGTGACTGGTGGGATAATTAAGTGATTTAAAGCTTTGCTTTTATAAGTCTTTCATGAGTCTTCATAAAAAAAAAAAGCTTTCATAAGTCTTCATAATTTGTCAAAATAATTGTGTTTAATACATAATGAAGGGGAAGTATTTCTGACTAATGATAGTCCGGCTGTTCTTTCAAAGTGAAGGTGCGTTCGTGTTAAAAATGTCCTACTTACATGATGTGTTTGGAGTAAAATATCAACGGACTTTTGTAAAAGCAATAAAAACCTTAAGGAGCTCTAAAAATAATGACAAGTTCCTTAAAACTCCGAAATTACAGAATGTTGTTGAACAATGATAGGATATCGCCTAAACGACTTTTTTTTTCCGGACGATGTCAAAGGTCATTGGTATAATTCTAAACATGGATTAATAAATATTTGTTGATTACGGTACTTAAGGTATTAGTAATAATGTTATTGGTTGGATTCATTATTTTCGTTATTAACCATTCGAAAAACAAAAAAAAAAAAAAAACGAAAAGAAAAGAAAAGAA